CTTCAGCAATATTTGTTTAATATTGTACCTATTTTTCTGTTTTTCCTATACGATTTTCCCGGTTTTCCCATGTTGTTCCCGGTTTTTCGCATTTATTGGGAAAACTCCCGAGAAAATCAAAAAGTTGTTCAAAAAATAATAAACATCATTTTAAAACCAATACATATCTCGTTCCACTCAGAATTTAAAAAATACTTTTTTTGTTCAATGTGTTCTTATATAATACATTTTTTGTCACATCTGACTCGATATTTTATATGGTCAACATTTTCAGTCGTTCTATTTGAACTCTCCACTCGATTCGCGTTAATGCACTAAATTATCGCTCTAAAATATAATTCGATGCGGGAAAACATAGTGGTACATTATCCGCGCTCACAGAAAAGTCTCCCAGCGCAACTGCCCATTTTCGCCCCCTGAATACATCACTGCTATAACACGATTAGACATCGTGTTAAAATAATATATCTTACACGTCTCTATACTACTCTAAATTCGTATAGGTACTGATTTCGTAATTGATTACGTTTTTGGATTAGTGTTTTTTTTTTCGATTCCGTGCGGAACGAGGCATTTTTTTGCCATTCGATTTCAATTATGAATCGACCGTAAGAAATACTTACCACCCACGAAACGTCATTATGCAATTATTGCGCTTTACAATTGAAAACCTACACACTAATTATTAATGAACACTACAAGATATACACTACGTACCTATATTAATGAACGAGATACCTAATAAAACAATACGCATAGCAAAGCGCGACTGGGAAATAATAATATTACTCGCGATTTTACTTACACAATTCATATACTCGCGTATGTAGAAAACCGTCTATAAAACAATATAATTAATTTGTACACACTATACGTTTCGTTTCGCATTGAAATTCAATAATAATATTAGTATTGCCTATACTCTACAAAATCGCATTGCCGGTACACCGTACTCACAGTCGTAATAATTTCCGCATAGAGTTTATATATATATATATATGTTTTTATAAAATATAAAAAAAATTGGACGTACTTTATGCCGTAGATAGCTATTGCTGCAGTGTTGTAAGTAGTAAGTCAGGGAGGAAATGGACAGATGCCAAGGACGCAGTACAAATAAAAGGCGCATTTGAATATGTCAGATTACAGTATAAATTATAATTTGTTTCATTTTCAGTAATTATACTTTTTATTAAATATTAAAATTTTCATTTGTTCTAGGAAATCATTTAAAAACTTTTATTGAAATCGAAAGATGATGTGCACAAATTTGTGTGAGTGATTTTTGCGTTTGACAAGGAGTTTTGGTTAAAAAAAAATTGTTTTTTTTTTTTTTTTTTAAAGTTGTGCGCACCTATATCTAGTGATAATTGTCACAAAATAACATATTCCTATAGTGAATCTGATGGTTTTTAATTTTATTTATATATTTATATTTTAGCTCTAAGTCTATCGGTTAACGAGTTATAAATGAAAACGACTGAAAAATCGAAAATACTTTTTTTAAATGGGAGTGAGCTAATCACAAGGGGTAGATTTCATGACTTTAGTGCGTGTCGTTCACGTGCGCTCGTGACCAAAACCGTGGATTGAGAGCCTCTATAGTGGATTTCAACAAGGCAACCGATAATATTGTACGCAGCGACTGCTAAAGGTAACTCACTGCTCGGACACTCGAAAAGGTTTCCCGTGACCAAAAGTCGAAAGTTCACATCGTTATAAACATGTATACCTACCGTATCGGGTCTTCGTGTATTATGTCGCCGAAGCCAAAATGTGCCTATACTTGTCCGAAAATCAAACCTTATTTTATTGTTTTTTTTTTTTTCAATAAACCAACTACCGCGTATTCAGTACGAATGTAATATGACGTGCGGTCACACGCAACATCAAAGTTCAAATATAATAATATCGTATAACTCGTAGTCGTGTTATGTTAAAATTCCAATCTATACAAGTCTATTCGGTATTGAGTAATACAAATGATAATGATGATGATGATCATCATCATCGGGATCGTATACGGTCTCAAAACAATAGTATTAGACGCCACTATCACTGTCCAGAATATCGGAACTTTCCATTACATTTCTTCACTTCCGATACCTCTAGGTCTTGGTGTAATATTCCGTTTGATTTTTAACCTTGTTCCCTCTTGTTTTCATTCGATTTCTGTTCTAACATTTGTTGTTGTTCCCTGCTTTTGCATTGTCGGCACCAGCAAACGAAGTCATTGTACCTATACTATGAATAAACAAACCTGCAACATGTCCAAAAAAAAAAAAAAAAAAATATATTAATATATTTATACATAAATAAACAGAATATTGCGTAGGTTTTTAATATTTATGTATTCATCGTTTATAGAATATAGCTAATATATTTAAACACTTAATATTAGTATTTAGTGATTGAGTACTTATTTAAAAAAAAAAAAACTCGTAATTATAATCGTTTTATAGATGCGGTTTTTATTTTTTATAAATGTTGCTCGAAACAAACTTTATGTTATTTTGAAACTATGACTATTCGTTTTTGGATGGTTTTTTTGCATATTTATGTCTGTCAAGTCGTGACCGTGTCTGCACCAATCTGCTCGTCCACTACGTTGTTTGTTACCGTGATTACGATACACAAAATTACAACCCTGAAGAGGTATTCTTTGTTATGGACGTGTTTCTTTTAGGTTTTATTTTTCACAAGAAACTTTTTTTATTGATGCATTATGTTAATTTAATATTGTACGCCTTGGTATATTATATTTTACGTATTCCATAATAATGTATCAACGAGCATTTACATAATATTATTTTTAGTTGCGTTTAACGTTTCGGAAAATATGTCTAATAGATTTTAATTATATAACATTATAGTGTAATTCAAATGTATGTATAATTTCCTGAATAATAGGTATATAACTACTTGGCCACGTCGTAAATATGATAGACAAAACGGTTAATTAATAAACAGTCGAAGTTTACACAAGAGTTTATAATTTTACTGCCGCGTGGTATATAAACATATATTCTATTTTTACATTAGGTATTCTGCTCTGGTTCAGCACAACTCCCGTCTAAACATTTAAATAGCAGTTAATCAACCGTTTTTGTTGGCTTTAGATTTTATTATGACTTATACTACTACACTTTTTCGGTAATTTAACGTCAAATACAATGCACTGCGTGATCGTCGAACAATTAATAAAGTAAGTCATCGGTACGAATGTAAAACGAAACTGGAAACAATATTATATTATTATCGTTGACAAATCTTTATTCAAACAACTTACACTAGTGACATAATGTTCAATACAATTATGTCCCCGCGAAAAAAACAAAATGTCGTATTTAAAACCGTTAACGTTCGATATTATGTGTGACGAAATATTGTACCGACATTACGACAGTTCTATGGTATTATATGGTTGTATACATTTTACTTAAAACTGTGAAGTGTATATTATGCATAAACGTGTATCTTATTCTTAAATAGCCGCTCTTCAATATTGCCTTGACTGTCAACCCGACTTTTTTACATGTGTCTTTAATACATTTGTTACTAGCAATATAATATTATCCCATTGGCTCCGGGTCTTCTTTAATTCCGCTCGACCGACGTTTTCTGGTTCTCCCCCATGGAATTTTGCACGCCGGTCTCCAATCTATAACTGTTCGCTGTCTCAGTCTTTCATTCCCTTGCACATTGCTGTCCGTTTAATAAAACTCAAAACCTTGAAACGTCCACTATTGTATATTTGTGTACAATATACATTATACACAGTATCTAAATTTTTCTTGTATAGGTATAGACGCATGTATTTCGTTAATAATGGGCAGAACAAAATACAGATATCCTATACAGCCAATGCATGGACGTATGGAAAATAATGTAAAAATGTATAATTTTCTATTGTAAGAATAGTGTAAAGGGATGTGTGAGAGGGCATATCCCCATAGGTCTTTGATGTGCCCATAATTTTAGCACCTTCAGAGTTGATGGTCTAGTTGCACCTATGACTATAGAGTTTAAAAAATTAGTTTTACAAAGTAACGCATTCCTATATTCACGTGTCCAAGTGGAAAAAATAATGCATTACCATTCGTCATTCATTATTTTCATAATGAACGCATTCCGCATTTGCATTCATCAACATTTGGAATGTATTCTAAGTGCGAACAAAATAAAAAAAAAATTATTTGTAAAAATATTGTAAAAAAAAAATGTAATTAATATTATTTTTAATAATCTTTTCGACGTTCAAACACTAATATTATAGTGTTAGGAAAAACGCAACACATTATAATAATATAACATACACCACAGGTACATAAATACATATTATATTTTTTTTAAATTCTATGAGTATATACCTAATTATATACATACGTTACGGGCAAAGTAAACTTTTGGGCAATGTAGGTAAAATTATACATTGTCCGGACTGTATAGAGTTGCCTAGTAAAGCTTGGGCAATATAAACCAAACATTTTTATTTTATAACTGTAAACCTTTCTAATCTTATCAATCTTGTTAATTACTTTATTAGTTGAATATTGTTACATTAACAATTTTTTTTTTTTACGATTAACATTAAATTTTTGATCACAATTACATTTACATTTTTATTTGAACATTGTTGAGTACAATTACATCTATCATAACCCTGTCCTCCTAAATTTGAATATTTTCTCCCTACTTCTCTCAATGTAATTTTTAGATTAAGCATCTCCTCTACAGTTACCTAATTTTCTTTGCACGTATTAAACTGGTTACGACTATATGTGTTTTCCAACATTCTTTTGGTGGTTCCTATCTCATAGTTATCATCATGAACTATATTAACAAATTAAAATATTAAAATGATATGTCTTATACTTTAATTTAGAGTACAATTCGTGTTTTATCGGATAGGATAACTCCAAGAATACAACGAAGCTACGAGCTCTGTCGACATCAGATATTTTGATTTTGACGGATTCACCCACTTTTCCTTCACAAAATCATTTTTCGGATGCTTCTTTCGTATGATTCACTTGAATTTTTAAGTTAACGACTGATTCTGTTCTTACAGCAATTATTTTATTTATTCTATTATCTTTCATTTTTTCATTTTTTTCTTCAATCAATGTTTCATCAAATTCACTATGATCTACAGTATTCACGGGTGTATTAGCTGCCTCTAAACCTTCTTCAGTTTTTAATTTACTAATTATTGATATTGGAAGTACCGATGATTCTAATCCAATTTCATCACTACATCCAAACATTGTTTCTTATGGACTGTATTTTGTTTCATGATGTAAGGTTATTCATTGATCGATTCTTCATCAATTGGACAAATTTTAGTCCTTCACTTCATTCTTTTGTTGACCCTTGACTTTACGAATGTCTTGGTTTTCCGAGTATAATTTTTAAACCATCCCACATATTACACAATTCGTTTATTATTTTATTCAAGAATTCTCGGCCATTGTCGTTTTGTAGAATCCGTTGGTGCGCCAAATTTTGTAAATATATCCAAAATTACATAAACTACTTCTTCGGTACGTTTATGCGTTAATGGGCGATCAAAACAAATTTTGTCAATGGTCCTGATACACTAAAATAAATTTATAGTTTCCGTTAGGTTGTGCCTGCATATCTATAAGATCAATTTGACATCTAAAATTCAATTTATTTGAGATTATTGGTTTTACAACAAGACCTCTATTTGCAATACTGCCTTTCTTTTGACAAAATATATATAGATTTAAATTTAACATAAAAGATTCTCTTGTAATATTTTTATATTTTTTATTAAACTAATATTCTATGCGGTTTCATTCACCATGACCGATAGTTGAATGAGTATCATTAATAATATTAAATGATTCTTCATTAAAAACATAGTACTTAAAATCATTACCTTCACTCACTAGAACAATTAATTTTTCCACATCAGATACTGTTATGACGTCATATTTTTTTCAAAATTTTATGGCCTCATGATTTCAGCTTAAGTTGTTTTACTTCGGACATTAGTTCATAATATTTAGTTTTAGTTAAGTATGTACTATTAACATTTTTTTTTTTTTTTTTTTAATGCAATTTCTAGATTTTTTAAATATCGCCTTTCCATTTCAATTAATTTAATTTAAATACCGCACACATTAATATGGTGAACGCCAAACACTATACTAACACTACAATACGACACGACTATCGACCACGCTGTACTAGAGTTATCTGAATTAATCTGTATTATTGTAAAATATCATAAAGGTAAAACCGATTTATCGATAAGCTGATAATATTGTTGATGGAAATATAATCTTGAAACGACAATGACATTATTGAGAGTTTTGTATATTGGTACCTGGTGGCTCATACTAGTGTTTGAAGTACTAACAGACAATGGTTTCATAATACTATACTATTGGTTTATACCTATTACTATACCTCATACCTGTCCTCGCTAAAACAATTAACTAGTCATTTAATAGCTCAAGTTACCACGTTCAATTTACTACGGGCAAAGTGTACTTGGACCGGCCAAAGTATAACCCTGCACTATCGAACTAGTATTTTAATGTATTGCCCAAAAGTCTACTTTGCTCGTGACGTACTTACACATATATACGTTCGTGGATTAATTTCTAAACTGTTTTCCCTAAACAGGAATTAAATCCAACGCATTGCGCATTTCCATTATGACGTTACGAACGCATTCTTCCCGAACGCCGAATATTTGTGTACCTACACGTTATTAATCAGATGAGTGTACACTGTACAGTCAGCGATACACGCAACATCGGCTAACGTTCGATGATATTTAATTATTGTACGCGGGCGAAAACACAATATTGGACAATAATTATTATTGTAATATATTTCCCATATTACTTCACATCGCGCCACAATCGTTACCATACAATCGACCACCTACGATAACGATACGTAAATATTGTTCCCGCAATAGAAAATCCTAAAAAAAAACTATATTTTATTGTACAATTCGTTGCATATTCCGTTGTTATTGCATTCATTATTAACGCAATTGTTTAATTTGATTAATAATTCGCCGTTCGTAATTTGCCCGCGTCTTGAAGCCGGTACGCCTAGCTACCATTCTATAATACTCGTAGCATATATTATTGTAATATCCTTCACATTATTATTTCGGCATTACTGTTGCAACAGGCCGACTATAATTATTATTTCTGCGAGTATTTTACCTGTTTGCGTCCCTATATCATAATATACGTGGATTACACAGTATTGTGTTTTTAGGTCGGTATATTGCGCTAATTATGAATTATTATATTATTGCTGCGAGTGTATAATGGTAATACCTAGGTTCTCGCGTCGAAATTCGCTTATTCTATAATTATTAATTAATAAATTATTATTACCGACTACCTATGTAGTTTTACCATTATTACAACTACCGTTTTTATTATTATAGTTTACGATTAATTATCATTATCATTATGGTAGTTTTCGCAGGTGTTATCGGTTTTCGTAATCGAAATATGCAATTTGAAATTAGTTCGTTTTATTTTTAAAAATGTATTTATACTAATAAAGTGACTACTGACACTGTATATAATGTGTACCTAAATAAATTAAAACAAATACCCTACTTAATTATAATTGTTTCGAAATTATTTGCCTTACAAATTTTTTAAATTTTACTTTTAACTTTGGAGTTAATGAAATTTATTAAGCAAGTCTACAGAATTTTATGATAGTTGTATACGCTTATATATAATATTTTAATCAAGTATTACAGAATTATACTTAAATTTGTATAAATAATAAATAAAAGTGAAACCAAGGAAAACCGTGAAAAAAAAAAACCGGACATAATTCGCACGTAGGAGGGCAGCTGTTTTAGGTGAGTAGTTGAAAAGGCAGTAGAGGGGAAAACTAATGTAAATCTGTGTGTGACGATTAACGTGTGGCTTTGTCAACAATAAATATGTCGTAATAAAATAATTACATATTATGCATTAAACATTTTCTTCAATAATATTTGTTTACATTAAACCTATTTTCCCGTTTTTTTCTAAGTTTTTTCCCCGTTTTTCCATGTTATTTCCAGGTATTTTCCCACTAAATGGGAAAACTTTCAGACCCCTCCCCACCTATTTTATGCTGAAATTTCATGTTTTCACGGGCAATACCAGATTTATAAAATATTATCCTCACAGACCAAAATAACCATTTAACGATTTTAGGTCAATTATAATAAAAATAAACGAAACGTCGATAAGCTGGCCGGAGAAAATTTCGAGCACAGTTGTTGGTTTTTTTTTTTTTTTTTTGTTCGACGTATAAGTATACAATACGAGTATATTGTGCTGATACTATTATAATGGTTAAGAGATAATTCGCTAAAAATAGTTCTTGTATTTTTTTTTTATTTTGTTTACAAGATGTTAAAAGGTAATACCATAATGTTAGTACCTATTATAATATAATATTAATATAATGTTAGGTTACGAAGTAGGTATAGGTGTATGTAACATAAGTGTATGTGTATAGGTGTACATAAAATGTAACGTTTTACGAGTAGATAAGTACATAAATATGTTTTTATTTTCACAAAAAGTATTTCGCGTGTTTTATGTACAAACGTAATTAGAGAAAAAAAAAATATTAGAAAATTGCGAGAAACCATCTGCACGATGCAATAATATTATTATATCCAAACGTTATAATAATAATATTATACTTACGTGTTTTTACTTAATAATATGTAATATTTATGATTTCATTTTTGCGCTTAATAAACCAGATGTCGAACGGATGTTTGAGGTTATGTTATTTAAGTTTTTTTTTTTTCTTATTTTTTTGAACGCTATACATATCGGGGATATGACAAGGGCCCGAAAGAATTTCAAAACATTTTACATTATTTTTACGTAGACTCTCTCGCGCACACACTCACACACACACACCTATACAATCCATCGAAACACGATACGTGTAATATAATAGTCATAATGACTTTGGAACGCTTATATATTATCAATTATCATAATAATATTTATTCATTTTTTTGTCAGCATTATACCCACTATATAATAAAGGTACATTTTTGCATCGTTTGTATACACATAAACGATTAGTCATTACAAAATATTATACTAAAAGCGAGAATTATAATACAAATATTATTATTATTAACATCAAAAATGATGCGGGTGTAAACATGTAAATACATTAAGTAAAGTAGGTAACGAACCGTTTTCACTAAAATAAAAAATTGTTTCAGTTATATTGTGGTTCAAATTAATTGTATGTATGTATAACTACTGAATTCATACTGCAGTACGAACTAACCGATAATATTGTTATTACAGTAGTCGCTACAGTACCTATAGGGAGAATTTTGAACTTGGTAAAAATGGAATGTCATAAATTCTCTACATTTCAAACAACTTAAACTAATAATTCGGGAAAAACGGTTTTTCAAACCTATTTAATTTAAAACGAATAATTTGAAATAAACAAACCTGAAATCTAAATCATTTGAAAACAACAAATCGTGAACTTCTTGTCAAAGTCAGTCATTCATGAAGCTTTCGAAATAAGATACCATTATCTGACGTCTTAAAAGTTTAAATTGCAGCTTTTGTAATTTCCTTATTTTCACCTAATCTTTAGCGTGGTTGTTTTTTTATTTTTTAAGAGATAATAATGGAAAGTGATAACTTTTACTACATTATGATTTTTCGGCACGGGTCAAACTGGTAGACAATAAATTATTGTCTACAGTCGGGGAGTTAGTTCGCTGACGACTGTCAACAGGAGCGAACAGCCGTCCTAATGGTAAACCTTGTAAAATATAATTATATTGTAATATAAACTGATAACTAAGCCAATCTCCATTTATTCATAAAGCTATGATCCAATCAACCATCACGCTCCAGAGTCAAGGTAAATTATATTCAAAAGAATACCCTCTTCTCTGAATATTTAATATTTAACGGGTCATCCTGGACCACATAACAGTAGTATGTGGAAAAATCGAAAGATATTAGGTATTCACAGAAAAATGTTTTCCGTATAAAAAACATACTTTTAAAATTAATTTGGGTAAACTAAAATTTACCTATCCAAGATAGATTAACTTAGAATTTTTCATTTGTTTTTTTTCTATGTAGAAATATATTGTATAGGTACAAAGACATTTTTTTTTTTTTAAGTCGTCGAACTTATCGTGAAGTCTGGTACAAGTTATTTGCCTTTCACTTATATTGAGTTTTTTTAATTAAATTAAATTAATTTTGTTATTTCCTCCGGATTTTGTATATAATATATTCACGCAATCATTAAGTTATTTTTTTTAATTTTGATCAAGTAATAACTAATAAGTTATATTATCATAGTTTGAAAAAAAAAAAACAAAAAACAAATTACAATTTATTATGGTAATATTTAAAAATAAGTTTTAATTAATATTTCTACTCATTAGTCTATTCTTCTAAACAAACTATTAAATTTAAACTTTTAATCGCAGACGATTAAACACGTCCATAATGCGTATCTTCTTCTTCTTCTAAGGCATCTTAAAGACCATTAAAGTCCATTGGCGCAACAACAACATCCTTCCACTTTTCCCTATCTCTTGACATTTCCTCCGCATTTTCCACATCAATCATACTGAGGTCATCCTTGACTCTATCAGCCCACCGTTGTCTGGGTCTTCCTCGAGGCCGTTTTGTGTTTGGTTTCCATTTTGTTATGCTCCCCAGTACTCCTTCAGATCTCCAAACATGACCAGCCCATCTTATTCTGCTACTCTTCATAATTCCTATAATATCGGCTTCTCCAAATAATTCTCTTAACTCCTCATTTGTCCTAATTGGGACAAACCATTGCGTATACCCGGTTTATTATTCAGTTATATAGAATTCCCTCAAATGAGTGATAATAATACTTTTAATACTCCTTGGAATTGATCAAAATTGTGCGCACAGTACAACGTTATAACAGTATATAGTTTATTGAATTAGTGAAATCGTTAATTCGTTATGAAATTGAAATTTTTCTCCGTCGAAGTTTTTTCCGAATTATTATTGTTCTTGTATCGCTTATCGGTATAGTAAAACAACAAATTCCAATACACTCGATTATGTATACAAGTACTGCCGTTACCAATTAAACGACTAAATACGTTTTTGATTGAGATCCCCTTTGAAAAAAAAAAAATAAAAATAATAATAATTACAAAATTTAAAAAAAAAAATTTTTCATCAATATACGTATGTTGCATTGTAAATATTTTCAACGAAAATCGATTAAAAAAAACCCAATTATTATGAACCGGATTTATCATAATTTGTTTTAGTGTATACTAAATTTGTAATTATTTTGATATTATTATACATTTATACTATAGATTGTAGAGAATATACACATCGCTTTAAAAGTTGCGACCTCCTAGGAGAGTGATTGTTAACAAATGCGGTAATTATATAATTTCCATTAAAATCTTCTTTTTTCTTTTTACTATTATTTATATTATTAGCTACGGTTAACCCGTCGAGTGTATTTCCAGACGTAATATCGCATAATTCTTCCTTAAATACGTGTCCATTATACGGATCAGAGTATATATATATAAAAAAAAAAACGTTCTTATACGGCAGTGGAAGAAATAACCGGAAATGCTTGGTTATAACGCTCGAGTCGTGAAAAACATTATGCCCATCCAAACACCCCTTAGCACCCCTGGCTACGCCTCTGAGTCCGTTACAACGGGTGCAGGAGACGGTTCGACGACGGCCAGACATCGCTCGCCTACCGTTTTACCGAACGTACAACTAGAAAGTTAATGCGTAGTAGGCGTCTAGGTATACGTATTTTCATATATTTTTAAATATTATAATGACGGGAGTGCTTGTATAAATATTTCCATAAAAATAATAAGGGTCAATTAAAATAACCTTGTTCGATGTGCCGATACGACGGCGGCGGCGGCGATGAATCACGATGTAGAACTGGTACAATGACTCGCGTACACCGCACGTTTTTTGATTCCACGCGTAATATTAGTTATTAGGTGTCGGAGATTATTAGCCGATTAATTATCGGGTACGCGTATTATTATTATTATTTCGGTTTTATACGTATACCTTTCACCGAAAATTAATCTAAAACAAAAATCAATTAATTGATCAACAACCGACCGAATACAATATTTACGCGTATACCCACGGTACCCATATAATATTATATGATAGCGTACTGGAAATTATTTATAATCCTCACGCACTCGAAAAACTAGTATATCGACGCGGGACGTCCCGCAAGGATTTTATACTAATTGCCTATAATGTTATAGCTCCGGTGTAAAATAAATCGTAGTCTATATTATACAATTATTATATTATGTACTGTAATTTCGATTTTTTTTTTTTTTTTTTTTAATATCAAAAACGAATAAGTAATATAAAATATAATTTACAGGGTAGTAAAATTTCTGAATATTTTAAAAATACTTTTTTTCAGCACTGTTCAATACCGCGTGATAGTTTTAAAATTTATTTTATTCCTTGAGAAAATATAACTTTTACTCAGTTTTGTTTTAGAGTGTTCAATTTAAAATTTTTATACGTGTGCTTTATTTTCTCGGGAAACACTTTTTTAGGGTTAGTACTCCGATTCGTTCACGCATTACTTTAAAAGATGCGTATTTCATCATCAGGTGGTATGCCTACTCGATTTAAAAATATATTTTTCAAAAATCCCAATAGTTGAAATATAATGTTACCATAACCATCTTACTTATCTTCGTATAATAGTAATTTCTTTAAGTCATCCAAACTTAACCTAATATTTTGTTGAACATGTATTTTTAAAATTGTATGGATTTAATTACTGGGATAAGTAATGGATTTTGTGTTAAATGGTACACTTATTATGGTCTTTAGGGCTGAAGTCAAGCAGAAGAAAATTAAAGGACAACTAGTGAAATAATTTAAATTGAGTCATTTATATTTATATAGTAGACTTAGAACAACGTGTATTTTTAGAAAATGTCGACGTTCGAAATATTCTACAAAACCTTGTTTTCGTTGGCATTTTAGGATTATTAAAAAAGAGCTGATGCTACTGACGGGTATACCACTGCTTTAGAAGAAAAGACGAAAGGAGTTATATTTAAAGTAATTTAATTTATATCTGTACGCAACGACAAATTATTCTGGGCTGAGTATTATTAATCGTATTTTTTCCCATCAATAACCTAGAAATCAATACAAATTCATTTTTTTCCCATTAATTAATAAAGTTATAAGGAAAATCAAAATTATGCTTCATTAATGCAATAACTCGATAAGAAATTATACAAGAAAATTCTTATAAAATCTTTTTATTAAAAAAGATTTTTAGTAGAAATGTTGTTTATAGACACAAAAACCCATATTATAGTGAAACAAATATTTTTCTAAACAATACATTACATAAAAAATGAAGTTTTGTTGACAGTCGAGGTTCTTGAAGAGCTGTTACGGAAAACAATAAGAAGAAGAAAAATATGGCCCTAAAAGCTTCGTAAAAACGTCTTTTGAGAGAAAGAGGGAGAGAGACAATAATGGCATAATAATTTAAACGCGATTGTTTCCGTGCACGAGTGTGTATTATTGTCGGTTTCGTTTCGATTGTCGACCTAAGTATGCCGAAGTATACACCGCGGAGTGAACAGCACCGTACACTATGGGCGTACAAAAAACTGCGAAAACTAAGAACCACCGGTTTGGCGGATTCATGCGAAACAACAACAATAATAATAATGATAGTAACGATCGCTCGTCCAGAAATCCGCGAAAAGACGAGTATCGACTATATTGGTATCTTACGAGGGAACAGAAAAAACCGAAAAACAATGACGCGAGGGCGGGCTCCTATACTCCGTTCCAAATAAGAACGCACCGGGCGGCGGACGATAATCGGTCAAAACTTGCGCAACCGACTAAAACGGCGACCAATCGTAGAGCGAATGAGACTCAGCCAAGGGGACAGGTTGTCGATCCGCGATACATTTCGATGCACCTAGCGGTGCGTTCTTATATGGAACGGAGTATTGTTATCATTATTATATCGCGGTTATAAGTAGTCATTATCTAAATGATGGTATATTTTTTACGGACGAGCGTGAAGTTAGTCAAAAAATCCGTGTCGAAGAGAAAAATATACGAGTACTCAGGCAACAACAACAATAATAAACCTATCCAACAGTAAACATAATAATATGTTTATTTAATGTATGTTTATTTTTATGGGCTCGTGATGATACAATGATAAGACTATATTATAATAAACGAGGTGATTATTTTTTTTTATTATTACCACGGGTTATCTATTTTCGGGGGTGAAACTACAAGCAACTAATTATTTTCAAATAACAACTTAAGAATTTCATAAATAGATGTAGTTTTAGATTAAATACGTTTTGTTGTCAAAGTATTTAATATTTCCGTCAACCCGTTAACGAGTATTTGACTTTTAAGTTTGGATAGGTACGTAGGAGTTGCGGTGCGTGGCGTTTTAATAGTAATTTTGCACTGTACTGCAGTCTTCCTACTCAAACATAAAAGTGGAATGTCTCGTCAAGGAATTGACGGGAATTAAAAATGCCCGCACCAAAATTAATTTAAACTAAAACTCCGTTTATTTATGGAATTGTTTCTGAAGTTTTCAAAATAAAAAAAAAAGTTAATACTTTCCGAGACAATGAGTGTTTTGTCGAGGATTGCTCATCCTGTATATTACGTGAAAAGCATAAAATGTGGACCGAATCGACCGCATTAACAGGTATAAAAGTATAATAATAATATTATTATCATTATTTTCTTTTTTTATGCGGGTGACGTGGCAGCGGCGGAAGTCAAGGTCTCCCGGTAACAAGTGGACCGTCCTGCAGTCTCGTACGCACGAAGCAACACTCATCGGATGATTCAATGGGAGACCATCGAACCGTACATCCCATACTTTTACCTATAGATTTGTTCCCGTCCATTCCCAGGTCCTAGCCCGAGGTATAATATAGTATGTACCTATACACTGTATCTATAAATATTTACCGTTATTGAAGAAACTAGTTGGGGAAGTGAGGATTGAAGTGAGTTAACCTCACCCCAAAATTTGGAATTTGTACTACGAATTCTACGTTACACGCTTGTATTCAAATGTCAAAGATGTCATTGCAATTTTGAATACGTATGCACGTCACGTGTACTGAGGAAAACAGGCAAATTTATATCTCTGGTTCCAAGGTAGAAGGGTTTCAGTTAATTTTTAGAATTTTCGCAAAAACATTTTATACTGTGCAATTTCTCTTCAATTGTTGGTATTAATTGTATAAATGTACGTATTTTCATAAATTTATTTTTTGTACTGAATATAATACGAAATTTACTTAGTTCTCGTGCCCTGTTATTTCAACGGTAATGATTCGGATAATATATCTGCCAAGAATGTTATATATATAACAGTGGAAACGGGATCCTTATATTATTTATTTTCGTCCAAATAATTTTCCTTATAATGGAATACACGAATAATTAATACTATTCGTGTTTAATCTGCAATTAAATACTCGTCTAAAACGTTTTCGATCGATTCGAACTTGTAGAATATGATATGTAAACGTTCTTATACCGGAATTGCATTATAATATACAGATTGTCAGACTACGTTATCATTGTTTCCCAACTTATCTCTGAAAAAAAAAAAATTTGTCCATATCTTAGATATTAAATGAGGAAACCTTAATTTTTTTTTTTTTTATAAATTATTAAAAAAAATAAACTAAATCGTTATTTTCTATACTATGCAAAATGTAATTTTATCGTAACGTTTGTCAATGTTGGTTGATTAACGAATTTTAATATTATAATATATACTATATATATATATATGCGTGTGTGTGTGCGTATCCGTATATAATATATTATAGTGATGTAAGTATAGTATAGGTACCTGTTGTGTGTACCTACGCGTATAATATTAGTGTTATAGCTTGAGGGTACCGATCGTTCAAGTGTGCGTTTGCAACCGAAACTCCGTGAGACCGGAAACCGACGATACACGTAAGTTTTTACTCCGCTGCGGTTTCCTGTATTCCGAACGATCGGAAAAAATTTGAAAAGTAGACCGTTTTCCCATATCTTCGTCACCGCTATATAAACGGTTCATTCATATAGTTATACATTATACAGAGAATTAACGAAACCAATGCGTTTCGAATATATAATTTCGACGAAATAACCGACGTCGGACGAAATATTACCATTATTATAATGTATAATACTGAAGTCTATTAATTGGTCCTACTCGGTCCACCGAAAATTATCCAGCCGCTTGTACGAGTCCCCGTTAAACGCGTAATGGCTTTAAACGGCAAATTTGCCGTCGTCGTTTCTATTTAAACTTGAGAGAATTCTATCCGAAAGTCGCTGCATCGACTACCGCGGTTTGTTTTGCGAAAATCATCGCCAGGCTTATTGTAACTCGTTTAGAATGCACTGTTGATATTATATACGCTACACTACAAGTTAAAGTATATCCCGCTGAAATAGTGTACTCGCCTCCCCCCCTGCTATTTTCGGTTGGCGCGAACCGTGTTATTAATGCCCCTTTCGGTCCTAAACACGCCGCCGCCGAAAACCGTGATACAAACAATGACATTTGCCGGACTATAATAACATTTTATTTACATAATATTACGCGCTAACTAACGAAGAGTATTATTCTCTCTCCCCGACTCCCGTTGTAAATTATAATATCGGTA